CACACACACACACACACACACACACGCAGGAGCAGCTCCGCCCCTGGGCCCACCTTCCCCGGACGGCCTTAAATGCAGGCAGTGGGCGCTCCGCTGCACAACCGCAACCATTCTGTCTGGGTAGTGGAACCTGCGGGCTGGGGTAAGTAAACATCTCCGTTCCACTCTTTTTTCCTGTTGAGTTCCTAGAATTCCCTATTGTGGAACGTTTGCGCATTGCTCCCCCGTCTCCTCTTGATTAATAACTTCAGAGTCTTGCACTACGAGGAACGTGAAAGCCAGATGTCCCGATCGATGCCTACCGGTCCCTGCTTGTTCTTGGAGAGTTCGGAGACATGCTGGAGGGAAGGGCGTAGCCTGTCTGCGCTCGGGTGCACGGCATAGTTTGCCTTAGCCGGGGCGGCGGCTGGCTAAGAAACTTTCAGGACTGCAAAACTGGAACAAGTGTGGAAGGAGATGAAAGATAGGGGTCGGAATTCAGTTAGTGGGCACGGGTGTGTGCGGGGAGAGGAGGTGGGAGCCAGGGGCGAGTGTGCCTGGGGGCGCACTGCATCCGGACATCTTCTTCCGGTGGGTGGGACTCTCTCCGGACTTCGGCTGCCCCTGAGGCCATGTCCTTTGGTGAGGGGGAGGAATTCGCACTTGGCTGCCTTTTTGGGAAAAGAGACAAGTAGAGAAACCGGGCTGCGGTTCCGACGGTCGGAACCGGTCCATTTGCAATGCAAAAGTGTCCAGGGCGCTGCTGTTACCCCCAACTGGGGTCGCCTCTCGGGGGGTGGGGGGGTGTCTAGTCAAAAGACAAAACCAAGCCAAAGCATAAGAAAAGGAAGGGTTTTACTTGCAAGAGTAAAGGAGAACACCAGGGATATTTCCCAACGTAGTGTCACCCCGAAAAACAAAATTGGGGACGTTTTAAGCTAAGGGTACGTGCATATTCATGAGGGGGTTCGCAAAAGAAAGTTCAGTATAGAACTGGGGCAAGGGTCATCCGAAATCAATAGAGTCCAGGTCCTAGTTGATTGAAGTCATGAGGGCCAGCAAGGGTCGGCATCACCAGCTCCCTGACCAGTTCGCCTGGAGTTTGAGTGCTCAAACAGCCCAAGAACGTGCGTGAGATCAGTCTTTGCTTTTGAAACAGCGCTGGGAGTTTTACCATTGATTTATTGTCTCTGATTTGGTTGGGCTATTATCTGGCCAGGTAAAAACGATTAGTTTTTGCATTCCCTTTGTTTCCATAAAATCCTAAACTGCGGAGGTTCTTGTATTCCTTTCTAATTTTAACACCTCCTAGAGGAAGTTCTGCAGGAAGGGAGCGAGGCAAGTAGAGTCAGTAGGGCATAGGTCGCAAGAATAGCTGACGGCCTAAAATGACTTCTCCTGTGGCCGGAAAGCTATGTCTCAGTTTTTTTCTTTTTCGGGGGACCCCTAGCTCTTTTTTGCTTACACTGCTGTGGGACTGTTGAAATCGCCAGCGACTGCAGACCTGTCCGCTGGAGGTACACACGTGGGGAAGGAGCGGCTCCCTCATGATGCAGGGGAGATCTGTCCAAGAAAATGTCCTGATCCCAAAAGCTCAGGGCTGTCTGAATCATCTCTCTTGGTTTCCTGTGGAGGCAAGTTTAAACCCTGATTTCCCATTTAGTGCCAATGTCAACTCACCACTGTGTTGAGCAGCAGTAGCACCTCGGGGTGTTCAGGAGGCTGAAACTGTTTGCCTTAGAAAGGTGTTATATCCATCTGAAAGGTGTACGTGCTCTTCTATTCGGTTCTTTGTGTTTGATGCTCTTTCTCAGGATTTGCTTTATGTGAGGTGAGGAACGGAATATTCACCCACCACGGAACTGTCCAGTGCCCTCGTGAAACCGCAGCGGTGGCTGGGAAGAATTTCGGTGTCGGTTTTAATATTTTTCCTTGTCTTGGAGATTTCTGAGGAAGCCTCAGTTTCCTCACTTGTACCCTGTACACTGGCAATGATAATAATGCCTATCTTAAAATTTATGAGGGTAAAATAAGATAGTGCATATGAAGTGCTTAGCACAGGAATAGAAAGGTAGTAAATACCCAATAAATGTGGTTGGCGTTAAATGATCATGAAGAGAAGTAGATGGTGAGTGGACCCTGCTGCCTGGCTTCCCCGCGGGGGCTAGGAAGTCATAATAATCCAGTCACATCATGGCGGTTGACTACGTGTTTACTGTGTTCCAGAAACTTCAGGATGGTTCATGCTAAGAGCTGGACCCTGAAGAAGCACTTTGAAGGCAGCCCTACTCATAGTAACTTTGAGTTAAAGACAGTTGAACTCCCATCCTTAAAAAATGGAGGTAAGTCATACGATTTCAGCTGGAAAAGACTATCAGTTAGCCTTTGCTGCATAATAAACTACCTCAAACAACAGTCAAACAACAATGACATCTGACAGCAATCATTTATTGGCTCACAATTCTGTGGGTTAGCAATTTGGGCTGGGTTAAGTTGGTGGTAACTCTGTAGGTTTCATCTGGGCTAACCGTTTAATCTAGGTTGGACCTCACTCATTTGGTGGTTAGCAAGCTCTCTGCAGAGGTGCATGCCTCAGTCCTCTGGGTGGCCTTTCTAGCAGGCTAGTTTCTAGCTGGCTGTGAGCTCTCTGTCTTTGCAGTGGTCCCACTGATCTAGAGCAGCAGGTGTTGGCAAATACTTTTCAAGCCTCTACTTATATCATGTTTGCTAATATGCAAAGCAAGTCACATAGCCAAGTCCGGATTCAAGGAGTGAGACATAAGACTTCTTTTTTTTTTTTTTTTTAAGATTTTATTTATTTATTTGACAGAGAGAGACACAGCGAGAACAGGAACACAAGCAGGGGGAGGGGGAGAGGGAGAAGCAGGCTTCCTGCTGAGCAGGGAGCCCGATGGGGGGCTCGATCCCAGGACTCTGGGATCATGACCTGAGCTGAAGGCAGACGCTTAATGACTGAGCCACCCAGGCGCCCCAGAGACATAGACTTCTTGATGGGAGGAGTGGCGAGGAGGCCCCACACAGTGATAGAAGGTATTTGTGACAATTTTGCCATCTTCCACAGAGACTTTTTCAAGGTTTTCTGTTTGAAGCCTTGATGTCATGTGGGAGGAGGATCCCTCTGATTTCTTTCATAATTGAAATGGTACATTGTTCCTGACTTTGACAAATCCTGGGGAGGATTTCCTCTCTGTCCTGGCAAGCCTGGTGATGGGGTGGGCAAGGGGGTAAGCAGGGCCTAGCAGCTGTGTGCAGATCTCAGATTATCCTGTGCACAGACAGGAGGGAAAAAGTCTCCTCCTTTGTTGAGGAGTCTCCCATCCCATGGGGGGAAGTGGAAGGACAAGGCAAAACCCTAAGGAAATCTAGGGGAGAGAAACAGCGGCACCGCTGTAACGTGTTTGGAGATTAGCTTTGTAGAGCAGACCGTATGGGGTGTTTGCAGGTAGAAAGGCAGGCTTTGAGAAAGGGACATGCAATCAAAGAGCTTGGCCAAGTTCAGTCCCATCTAAGTTGGGATAGACAGCCAGGACTCCCGATTCAAAATTCCAGAGAATGTGTGCATGAGGGTCACTCCAGCAAAATATATATTCTTTAATACTAACGGGGGCTGTCAGTGAAACCTTATATGGGCACTGTAACATAGTGATTACAAATGTGGCCCTGAGCAAGTTCCTTAACCTAAGCCTAAGTAAAATGGAAACAATAGTTGTTGGGAATATCATGTGAAATAATCCATGTAAAGCATGGAGTGAGTTCTGAGTAAATAACGTGATGGTGATGATGATGATCGGGACTGGACCCCTCTTGTTGTCTGTCTCTTTAATAGCAAGTGCAGAAGGCCAACCTTCTGCAGAAAGATACTCTTATTTAGAATGTTTATTTTGAGTGCTTATTTGGAATGCCAAAGTCAAGGAAGGCATCAAGCCTTGAGTTTCTAATTGCCTATGTAATGCTTTATTTGCTAGAGGTCCTGCTGGAAGCTTTGTTCCTTACCGTGGATCCTTATATGAGGTATGATTTTCCTCCTAAAAATTCATGTGTTGTGCTTTGGATCCTGTTTTGAAATAGTCCATCTTTTAAAATATCCAACTGATTGTCTTTTCCTCCTGTTGTCCCAGTATAATATCAGCAATAAGATTCATGGTTGCTCATCTTTGCCAGCAAAGGTTTGAGAAGTTTGATGAGGGATTCCCTTGGCCCCTTTATTTGACCACCATTTCCTGTCTTAATGTGCACAATTTGCCTCTCATTGCTCCCCCAAAATTAAAAGACTAAAGGATCCCAAATACAATTTGTCCATTTCACTACTGACAACTAATTTGGGGAGAGGAAGATGGTAAGACTAAAATAAGCTTTTCTTGCCTTCCATTTACCTCTATTCTTTTAATTTAATCAAATATTTGTACTCAGTAAACAATCCAGGGAAGGGAAAGAATGAAAGCCTTGATGGGGCACTAACTTTTCAGTAATTTTTGCCTATTGGTAAATAATGTAGTCATCATTCTTTAAAATAATTGTTTTCAGAACTGATCAATAGAGATTCAAATCTAAGGTAAAAAAATGTTTCCAAATGTTAACTAGCATCCCTTTTTGTGTGGCTGGTATGATTCTGCAACAATAATTCCAATTTGTAAACTTTTCCCCCTACAGTACCAACCAATTCTCTAATACCAGCTCGTTGTCCTACAATTCAGTTCTGACACTATCTAACTGTAGATCCCACAAGTGAAGGCGTCAGTCTTACAAAACTGCCCCTTCCCACACTTCAGATGCCAATCCCAAGTCCACATTGTTACCTGTACTTCTGACCAACAGGCTATAGATCCGAGGCTCCAAAGACCCCCTCCTTGGGTTCAATTAATTTGGTAGAGGGGCACATAGAACTCGGGAAACCAGTTTACTCACCAGCTTCCTGGCTTATGATTTGGAAACAGTCACATGGAAGAGATGCATAGGGCAAAGTATGTGGGAAGGGGCAAGGAGTGTCCATGCCCTCCCCAAGGGCACCACTCGCCCCACCTCTCCTCATGTTCACCAACCCAGAAGCTCTCCGAACCTGTCCTTTTAGGGTTTTATGGAGGCTCATGACATAGGCATGGTCGATTAAATCATTGACTATTGGCAATTGATTCAACCTCTAGCCCCTCCCCACTTCCTGGAGGTCTGGCGAGGGGGCAATGAAAGTTAGAGCCCTCTAATCATGTGGTTGGTTTGGCAACCAGCCCCCAACCTTAGGTGCTTTCCAAAAATCACCTCATTAATATAACAAAATATGCCATTATCACTCTCATCACTTAGGAAATCGAGGAGTTTTAGGAGCTCTATGCCAGAAACGGGATAGAGACAGAATACATTAATTCTTACTCTAAATCACAATATCACAGCTAGTGATTTGAGAAACAAGTACCCAGTGGTGTCTGGGTTATGTTTTAAAAGTTACTGGTAGAAACTCATCCACAATGGAGCATGATGGTAAGAGTCTCATATTCATTTCACAGAAAAATGCTATCAGAATGCTTCTCTGGGGTCACAGCAGGACTACCTCTAACATCTCTCCTCTTGCATTTCACTCAATTATTTTGCCTTCATGTATCAGCACACACTTTCCCATTGATTTTCCATGTGGACTGAAACTCAAAATGGTTTTCCCCAGACGCTCTTTTTTTTTTTCTTTTTAAGAGAGAGAGAGCACATGCACGCAAGCAAGAGAGAGAAAGGGGTGGGGATGGGGGCAGAAGGAGAGGGAGAGAGAGAATCCAAAGGCAGGGTTCGATGACCCAGTCAAAATCAAGAGTCAAATGCGCAACCAACTGAGCCACCCAGGGGCCCCTCCCCAGATGTCCTTATGTATTAAGAATGGATTTTTCTTTTTCAGAGTGGCGGCCAAAAGATTGAAGGAGGGTGATATGATGATGGGGCAGCAAGTGGCCAGGTATTTCTGTGTGTCTCAGTGCTTGAATAATATGTCTCTCCTTTACCTCCTTCTGGGTCCACCTCTGTCTATCACCCCTACAATTTCTTCAGTCTGTGTGATTCACTCACTGATCTTGGAAGCAACTTGGGAAATCTTGCCCCTTTCCTGACTAATTGGAAAGGAGGGAAGCCTGTGAAATTGACATCATTGCAGCTCTTAAACTTAAAAAATTGTAATTGTCCAGTTTATGACTATTGCAAAAATTCAAATAAATCAAAAATTTGGATCTTGGAAACTGAAAGTTCCCTTATCATCTGAACCTTAGAGGTGACTGTTGTTAATGTATTATTATTTCAAAAATTGCTTAGTACACAAACTAATATTTATAATTTTTCTTAAATAATGGGATTATATGCCCTTCAACAAATTGCTTTTTCTCACTTAATATGTTATGGATATCTTTTGTTGATAAAATGTAAATATACTACCTACCTTTTAGTGGCTGCAAATTTTTTTAAATCAATCCTTTTTTTCTCCCAAAGATTTTGTTTACTTATTTGAGAGAGACAGAGAGAGCGCAAGTGAAGGGGGGAGGTACAGAGGGAGAAGCAGACTCCCCACTGAATCAGGGAGCCTGACACAGGGCTCGATCCCAGGACTCCAGAATCACAACCTGAGCTGAAGTCAGACGCTCAACCAACTGAGCCACCCAGGCACCCCTTAATGGCTGCCAATATATCCCATTGTTATCTGCCATGTAACTAATCTACTCCTGGTAGCAACCGTTTCCAGTTTTTTCTATCACAAATAGTTCTGCAAGGAACATGTATGCCTCTTTTTGTGCATGTCTGTATATTCTTTGCCTACTTGGATGAATATTGCTTCACATTAAATTCCCAGAAGTATAAAATCTAGGTCAAAGGAGATGCATATTTTATTAACGTATTTATTTATTTATAAAGATTTATTTATTTATTTTAGAGAGAGAGAGAGCACAGCGTTGGGAAGGGGCAGAGGAAGAGGGATTGAGTCTTTTTTTAAAACATTTTATTTATTTATTTGAGAGAGAGAGAAAGAAGCAGCATGAGAGGGGATAGGGTCAGAGGGAGAAGCAGGCTCCCCACTGAGCCAGGAGCCCGATGTGGGACTCGATCCCAGGACTCCGGGATCATGACCTGAGCCGAAGGCAGTCGCCCAACCAACTGAGCCACCCAGGTGCCCGAGGGATTGAGTCTTAAGCAGAATCTATGCTGAGCACAGAGCCCAACGCGGGGTTCAATCTCAGTTCCTTGAGGTCACAACGAGCCTAAACTGAGTCGGATGCTTTTTTTTTTTTAAGATTTTTTTAAATTTTTATTTATTTGACAGATAGAGAGACAACAAGAGAGGGAACACAAGCAGGGGGAGTGGGAGAGGGAGAAGCAGGCTTCCTGCAGAGCAGGAAGGGACCCCGATGTGGGGCTCGATCCCAGGACGCCGGGATCAAGACCTGAGCCGAAGGCAGACGCTTAACGACTGAGCCACCCCGGCACCCCTCGAGTCAGATGCTTAACCAACTGTGCCACCCAGGTGCCCCGAGAGATGCACATTTTTTAAAATGAGCAATCATCTGATTTATAAAAAGATGCAACAATACTTAAAATGATACAAAATATCAATTTCAAAACAACTTCAAAAAGTGAGTGTATTTAACCATACTCAGCTCGTAACAGAGCAAATGGGTAAGAAGAATAATTCACGCTAGAGCATATTGCTAATATGAACTGGCAAGAGAAAAAGTTGGTAAAGGAAGGCAGAGGAACTCTTATCTTTTAAGAATTAGGGGTGCCTGGGTGGCTCAGTCGTTTGTTTGGCGTCTGCCTTCGGCTCAGGTTGTGGTCCCAGGGTCCTGGGATCGAGCCCCGTACCCTGCTCGGCGGGAAGCCTGCTTCTCCCTCCCTCTCCCACTCCCCCTGCTTGTGTTCCCTCTCTCGCTGTCTCTCTCTGTCAAATAAAAAAAAGAAAAAAAGGATTAGAACCGAGGGGCTGCATTGTCATCTGGCATCCGCTCGATGTTGTACCTGTGGTTAGAAATGGACATGATGGGAACTCCAGGCATCTGGATTCATCCTGTAAGGTCCGGTCAACTTGGCCACACTGTAACACTTGTGCTGAGGTACTCTCTGTACTAAGCGGTCATCTGCATAGGCTTCTTTGTGTGTGCATGGTAATGGTTCAGATCTTGGCTCCTTGGCAATCCTTAGAGCCACTCAATACTTTTGCCCTAGTTTCTCAGTTTGAACCATTACACAGTCAGTTCTACAAGGGATACACTTGGCATACAGACAGTCCATCGTTGACTGTACTAAGTCAAGTTTGGCTTGAATGGAAAAGTTGATAAAGTTGGTATCAACCAGGATGTGGTAAGGTGGGCCCAGCTCTGTGTTATATTGGAAGAATAAGCAGGGAGGATGTTGGGGGACTTTTCTTTCCTTGAGTGCACTGGGATCTTCCTTTTCTTTCTTTTTAGGTTTTAATCTATCCTCGTTAAGCCTCTGATCTCAAAGACTTAAGCATTCGCTTCATGGTAGCATACTTTCTTGCTTTCTTTTGCTTCCCCATGTTCGTGCCGTACTCTTGTTTCTTCCAAGATCACCAACCCGATAGATGCACATTTTTAATTTGAAGTTTTGATGTCAAATTTCTCTTCAAAAAGATTGTATGAATATCCACTCCCACCAATAGCATATTAAAGAACTTGTTTCCTCATACCTATATGCCCATTGCTTATCATCTTGGCAATCTGAGATGAATTCACATTGATATTTCCATTTAACTTCCATTTCTTTCATTATTAGTGATGTTGACTTTTTTTGGTAAATTAATCATCAGTTTTCTTCTGTGAATTACATTTATGTCTTTTCCTTTGTTCCTTTAGGTCTTTTCATCTTTTATAGTGATTTGTAAGATCTTTTTATATGTTAGGAATATTAGTGTTGCAAATATTTGGATCTTTGTTTATCTTTATCTTTCTCCCATGTCCAATCATAGTTTAAAATTTTTATATGGGGGCACCTGGGTGGCCCAGTTGGTGGAGCGTCTGACTCTTGGTTTTGGCTCAGGTTGTGATCTGAGGATCATGGGATTGAGCCCCGCATCTGGCTCTGCCCTCAGTGTGGAGTCTGCTTGAGAGAATATTAAGCAGGCTCTGCACCCAGCACAGAGTCCAGTGCGGGGCTTGATCTCACAACACTAAGATCATGACCTGAGCTGAAATGAAGAGTTAGATGCTTCGCAAACTGAGCCACCCAGGCGCCCCTAAATTCATTTCAGTTTTAAAGGATTCTTACTAACATGGGAAAAAGTATAAGTCATATATACTAGTATAATGTTGAGAGAGAAAAACTGGGTTGCAAAATATAAAGTGATTTCAATTATGTAAATAAATATGGGATCAAGCCCCACGTTGGGCTCCCTGCTCAGTGGGGAGCCTGCTTCTCCCTCTCCCTCTGCCTGCCGCTCCCCCCTGCTTATGCTCTCTCTCTGTGTCAAATAAATAAATAAAATCTAAAAAAGACAAAAAAAACAAAAACCAGTAAGTGTACTCTTAATCCCCATCACCTATTTCACCCATCCCCCTAGGGCCCACCTTCCCTCTGGCAGCCACCAGTTTGTTCACTTCATTTAAGGGTCTGTTTTTTGTTTGTCTCTTTTTTTCTTTGTTTTGTTTCTTAAATTCCACATATGGGGGCGCCTGGGTGGCTCAGTCAGTTAAGTGTTAAGTGCTCAGTGGGGGTCCTGCTTCTCCTCCTCCCTCTGCCCCTGCTCTCCCTCGCACACATGCTCTCTCTCTAATAAATACATTAAAATCTTTTTTTTTTTTTTAAAGGGGAGCGGCAGACAGAGGGAGAGGGAGAAGCAGGCTTCCCGCCAAGCAGGGAGCCCGATGTGGGACTCGATCCCAGGACCCTGGGATCATGACCTGAGCCGAAGGCAGACACTTAACTGACCGAGCCACCCAGGCGCCCCTAAGTTAAAATCTTTAAAAACAAAGCGCTAGCGTTAGGGTCGCTGTGTGGGTCTCTGTGGAAAGCTTGTTTGGGGGGCGGTGTGTGCCCGCTAAGGCAGCACCTCAGGGACGATGGCGGAGGGAGATAATCGCAGCACCAACCTGCTGGCTGCAGAGACTGCAAGTCTGGAAGAGCAGCTGCAGGGATGGGGAGAGGTGATGCTGATGGCTGATAAAGTCCTCAGATGGGAAAGAGCCTGGTTTCCACCTGCCATCATGGGTGTGGTTTCTTTGGTGTTTCTGACTGACTACTATCTAGATCCATCTGTTCTGTCCGGTGTTTCCTGTTTTGTTACGTTTTTGTGCTTGGCTGACTACCTTGTTCCCATTCTAGCTTCTAGAATTTTTGGCTCCAATAAATGGACCACTGAACAACAGCAAAGATTCCATGAAATTTGTAGCAATCTGGTAAAAACTCGACGCAGAGCTGTGGGCTGGTGGAAACGCCTCTTTACGCTAAAGGAAGAAAAGCCTAAAATGTACTTCATGACCATGATCGTTTCTCTTGCTGCGGTTGCTTGGGTGGGACAGCAAGCCCACAACCTGCTGCTCACCTACCTGATAGTGACTTTCTTACTGTTGCTTCCTGGATTAAACCAGCATGGAATCATTTTGAAGTACATTGGAATGGCCAAAAGGGAGATAAATAAGCTTCTCAAACAAAAAGAAAAATGAATAATGCATCTGCTTTATTCAGTGTAATGAATGGCATATACATTGTCCTTGGGAACAGTTTCTGTTATGCTGTCTGGATACTAAAATGTTACAGAAGTAGCTCTTTGCTCTCCCTCTTTTGCCCTTAGTGCGGAGAAATTCAGACTTGCCGAGTAAGGCTTTATGCATAGTGTCTTCATGTGAAGTGTAGCTGGATGCGTTCTCATCAGTTGGCCTTATATGGACAACTCATTCCTGAGTAGGACTTGTTTTGATTTTTCTCCACCCAGGTTAATTGCATTCTTACTTTTAGGCAACTTCCTTTAAAATAATATAGTGGTGAACTTCACCTATTAGTACAGTTAACTGTGACTTTGGATAATTAATTGTTCCAGTTGATCTTTGCTTTAGCTAGATACAAGTTAGTGGTCTGTGGCTACAGGAAGCTGGTTCTACTGTCTGCTTCCACAGTCTGCTTAAACTGCCTGGCTTCATGAATACAGAGACCAAGTTGACCACTTCCAATGAAGAGACCAATTAAGATTCATTCCTCATGCTGTTTCTATACAATGGGAGAAGAATCCTCTGGAATAAAATGAAACCAATTCCATGCCCTAGTATGTGCTGGTTTCTGCCTTGTGAAAAACTTAGTAATTTGTAAGAAACATTGATCTTTCCTCCCAAATGGGGAATATGACAGGCTTTGAGCTCGTCTCTCGTTGCTCTTAGACTTCAAGTTAGTAGATCCTTAGAGGCTTTTTAACAGCAGGCTTCCAGAAGTTTGTGTTTAGGATTTTTAGCATATTTTTAATTTCAGGTTTTCAGCCAATTGAAACTCAAGTACATAACAGGTTAAGACTCAGGTCTGTGACCTTCACTCCAACACCAGCCAATAAAGGACAGAAGTCTTCCTATACTTAGTCAAGAGTCATTTCAGTAGAAAATAATCTTAGCCTAATTTTTTGAGACCAGACTAGGCCTTTGAAGGTAAGCCTCAAGATGCTTATTTGAAGGCAATTGCTGGCTGCTTTGGCCCCCAGAGGTTTGGCACAGGAGGTGGTGTTTATGTTGGCATCTGACTTTTTTCCTAGATCTCTCTCTCTGAAGAGTGCAAGGGCTGCTGGGGAGAGCAGACTTTTGGTGACGATAGGTGGCCTCTGGTCTACAGAGATTTTGTAACTGCTTGGAAAGTGTCTTAGAATCATTCTCCCTCTCAGTAGCTAGAAATTTAGAATAGCTGAAATCTGTAGGCATGAACCTCTGAGGGCCGAAAATGTGACATTTGGGAATAGTTCTTAAACTCTGATTAACTAGCTGTAATATAGTTTTGTGAATTGACTGCACTGATGCTGGACCTTGTGGTATATCTGTCGCTAATGAGTGTTTTCTCCCCTTCAATATTACTGTAAACAGTAGCACCCATTGTAGCATATGTTTGATTTTTTTTTTTAATGTTTCCTATGAAAACTACAAACTACCTTAATTTTTACATGTGTTTCCTCATTGTAGATAAGCCTATCTTGCTATCTGGATTTTTTTGTGTATATGTGTTCTACCAGTTAACTACTTTGCAGTTTTAATCTTGTATTATTTCTTCTACTTTGTTTCGTGTAAAAGGGGGAAAATAAAAAAGGTGGAATTCCTCAAAAAAAAAATCTTTAAAAAAAATTCCACATATGAGTAAGATCATATGGTATTTGTCTTTCTCTGACTGACTTATTTCACTCAATATTATGACCTCTAGAGCCAATCTTGCATATGGCAAGATTTCATTCTTTTTGATAGCTGAGTAATATTCCATTGTCTGTATACCACATCTTCTTTATCCAGCCATCTATAGGTGGACACTTGGTTGCTTCCATAGTTTGGCTATTGTAAATAATGCAGGTAAACAATGGGATGCATATATCTTTTTGAATTCATGGGTAAACACAGGGGTACATATATCTTTTTGAATTAGTGTTTTCATATTCTTTGGGTAAATACCCAGTAGTGGAATTACTGGATCATATGGTAGTTCTATTTTTAATTTTTTGAGGAATCTCCATAGTGTTGTCCACAGTGGCTGCACTAGTTTGCATTCTTATAATATGCCTTTTTTGAATATATCATTAAGATTGCCATAACACACCCCAAAATATGAGCAGTTATCTTTGTATTGTGGGATTAGAACTGATAATTTTATTTCATACATGAAATTTTCTAAAATAAATGTGTTACATAACTTCACGATCAGGGGGAAGACAGTATAAAATGGTTAACGGTGGGCGAAGGTGGGAGACAGAAAATCAGCAAATGAGACTGAAAAGGGGCACCTCAGAGGGAGAGAGAAAAATCCCGGTGAAGTCAGTATTACGGAAACCAATGAGGAAGTTGGGGTAGCTCAGCGTGTTGAATACAGTAGAAAGGTAAAATCAGACAATGAATGAAGAGTGCCCACTGGATTGTGCACTCAGAAGTTGTTGTGACCTTAGTGGAGTAGCGGGAGTGGAAGGCAGGTTGCATTGGACAGGACAATGCTAAAGATTTGGGAGGGAGGAGGGGCTAGGGATGGAGGGCGGCCCCCGAAAAACAGTAGAGGCTGGTATCCAGGGCACCTTGAGCCAGAGGATGCGTGCCTCTTGCTTAGAGAGAAAGTGGGTGAGGACGGAGACAGATGTGGAACCAGGTCAGAGAGTTCTTCTCTGATGGCCCATATTTTCTGTCAAGGAGGAGGAGAAACCAGCAGCGAGGAATTACGATGGAGAGATGTGGTGGGGTATTTAATCATGGAATGTTAACTTCAGTGCCCTTTTAGGAAACGACCCATGCAGGATCCCAACTCCTTTGAAAGAGGTTTCCCATGTCTTAATGTGCTTTATCTTTCAGAGTTGTGGAAAGTAAAAACTCAGCCTTCCCAGCAGGAACTGTGGTAGTGGCTTTTTCAGGCTGGACGACGCACTCTGTTTCTGATGGGAAAGATCTGGAAAAGCTACCCGCAGAATGGCCAGACACGTTACCGGTGTCTTTGGCTCTGGGAACAGTGGGCATGACAGGGTAAGTTTCATGGGTATATTTCATTTCTTTAAATACCTGACATTCTGGTTTTTCAAAATAGTTTGTTCAGAATGTGGTCAACAAGAAGAAACTTGAGACAGTCTAGGCTCAGGGGCTGGTTGGAGTAGATGGTAGGACTAAGAAGGGAAGAAGATGGACTAGAGTTAGCCTTGGACTGAAGGAAAGAGGGAAAATGAGGCCAGCCACCCTCCGGTCCAGAGAGCAGCAGGGCGGAGAAGCATGGGGCATGACCCCTCCCTAGCAGTGGGTAAATGTAACACAACAGAACCAGCTCCCTCCATCTCTGGAAGTGTCTTGGCTTCACTCCTTACTCACCTGTGCCTCCATTTCAGAGTTTAAAAGGGGGAAAAGAATTCAGTCTTACCTTGGCTTTTCTGTACTGTCTCTCATTCCCCACCTTTCCCTATGCACATCTGAATTTCCTGAGGTATAAAGGGATCTGAGATTATTTAAACTGAGATGAATCATAAGTATGGTTGTACAGTCACTCAGGTTGACACAGACTTGAACTCCTCAGGAGTTCCTTGGCCTTTTAACTCAGGAAGACTCCTGGGTCAGTTCATCCTGTCTCAACTGAACTTGGGACCTCAAGTTTCCTTTTATGGTTTGGAGAAGCAAGGCCAATTGAATTCCTTTTGTTGGAGTCCCCCCGAAACATTTTTAGTCTGGAATTCATGAATTTCCTTTCTCTCTCCAAGTTGTATGATCTTTTCCTCCCTCCCTCCCTTCCTTCCTCCCTTCCTTCCCCCCCTCTTTCTTTTTCACACTTCAAAGGACTTTTAAAAGAATGAAATGGAAATATATACCTCAAATGATGAGCCTCTAGCAAAAACCAGTCCCCTGTACCCCAAGTTCATATTGCACTCAGAATATGAACTCCTCAGAATTGCCACGGCCAAGAGACAATCTCATGAATTTAGAGGATGCTGAATACCTTACTTTCAGTAAGTGGGCACTAAACAGAATTATAGCACTTCCGAGTCCTGCCTGCTTGCCCTAGACCCTCCTCCCACCTTGCTATTCCACCTGTCTTTCTCTCTAAATTGTGAGCCAGGTGGAGGAAGGCAGGGGTGAAGGGAGACATGAGGAAACCTTGAAGCAAGTCTCCCATGACTTAGTTGGGGAGAGAGTAATCTGTAAAATAGTAGGAGATTTGAATCCTGAAATAGAGGGTAATTTATTCATTTGTGTATACTTCTCATTCCCCTGTTCCAAGCCTCTGAGGAGTGCACTTTTACACCAAACAATCAACTTCATATCAGTGGTTCTCACTGATTGAGGAGAGGAGTTATGCTATGTTTCTAACCTCCTCTAGTGACACACTGTCCATTCTTTGAGCATTCCTTACCAGTGGCGTGGGTCAACCCTTCAAGAACACTGGAACTTCTGCTATAGACTATAAAAGAAGTTGAACTTTGAAACCTAGGGTGTTGCAGCTGTCCAGGCTCCAGAGATTTAACATTCCTCCAAAGTTTGCATTACTCCCTTCATCGGACCTTTGTTTTCTCTGTTAAGCTGGAGGTGTTGATGTGTTTTGCTCTCCAACCTGTCATTGATCGAAGTCCCCCTTAGACCAAAGTGCGTCTTTAATTTTTCCTTTAAGATTTCTTTACTGTTGACTTCTCCATCTTACCTCCTTTCCAGTTTTAGAAGGATGTGATGTTTGGGAAAGGCCTTGTGTATCTTGGGTCAGTATGTCTAACTGAAAGCTGATTTTAGAATTTTCTAGGACAGAGATTGGGGTGGAGGGTACTGATTGTCATGGGTAGAATGACAATCAGAAAATGCACTTTCTGCTTCGCATTTGAGGTTTTGCTAACTTGTCCAGCACCCTCTGCCTTCGGCATTGATGAAGGTGCGGTTTTTAGTTGCTTACATTCATAAGAATCACCTAGTTGTATAAAATCCAGGTGTTCATGTTCCAGCATTTCTGAATCAGTGGGTCTGAAGTGGGGCCTGGGAATCTGAATTTTTTATAAAACTCCATTTGATTCTGAGGCAGGTGGTGCTCCATCCAACTTTCAAAAAACAATGTGGGAATATTAGCTTTTGGGTCCTCAGAAAAAGTGCAGATTTCTTTGCCTTTCACTGCCTTACCTTCAATGTCCAACCCTAATGGATCCCCAGATATACTCGGAGGCAGACGTATAGTTTCCGTTCATATAGAAATACCTTTTACATGAAATTTTGCAAGTGGCTTAGCAGTCGCCATAGTGGATATAGATTTCATTCGCTCAGACTCAGGGGTGCAGAAACATAACTTAGAATTTTCCTACTACTGTACATCATTTCTTTTTTTTTAACTATTTTATTTTTTTTAAAGATTTTATTTATTATCAGAGAGAGAGACAGAGACAGAGAGAGAGTGCACAAGCAGGGGGAGTGTCAGGCAGAGGGAGAAGCAGGCTTCCTGCTGAGCAAGGAGCCTGATGCGGGACTTGATCCCAGGACCCTGGGATCATGACCTGAGCCAAAGGCAGACACTCAACCGACCGAGCCACCCAGACATCCTGACTTTATTTTTCGACAGAGAGAGATAAAGAGGAAACACAAGCAGGGGGAGTGGGAGAGGGAGAAGCGGGCTTACCTCTGATCAGGGGGCCCAATGCGGGGCTCGATCCCAGGACTCTGGGATCATGACCTGAGCCGAAGGCAGACGCTTAACAACTCAGCCACCCAGGTGGCTGTACATCATTTCTATCTCAAGCCTGCATCTTGGCTTGTGTAGTAAAACAAAGCCTCAGTTAAATTCAGTGATTTTTCACATTGTTCAGGTTTAAAACTCAAGATTTCCTTTTTTCCTCTCCCTGGGGTTGATGCAAAGTTCCAAGGGCTAACACATTCCGTGCCAGTAGAGGGGAGACAACAACTTCTTGAGCTTGATCTGTCTTAGCCTTATGCTGGTGTCCTTTTCCCACTGAGTTCTTAGCCACATCGCCTTCCAAGCTGGCCATCCGAGCTGGTGGCTTCTTCACCCAGTACTTGTCAGTACTGTCTGAGCTGCATCTCTGTAGACCCTGTAGTTCTTTCCTTGCCAGCTAACTTCGACATCTCATTTGGGATGAGATGGGGAAATTTCAGAAGTTCTTCCATCCCACTTAGGAGCCATGGAAAACTCCAGGTGTTTCTCTGGGAACCTCTTAGGCTTAGACACTGCATACCATTATATCTGTTCTGTGGCTATGGCACCATGATGACATGGAGGCTTTCCCCATGAAGCTCACCTCTCCCTGGGACACACATGGAATGAGACACAAGCTCTCTGTTTTAGGATCCCCAGAGTTTATCTTCTTTTGCTCCTGAGACTTGGCCTAGGGGTAGGCAAACTGTAGCCCCTTTCCAACCAACTCTCAATTTCTTCTCTAGTTCCCATCATCTTTATTCCTGTTTAAGAGTGAGGAAGGAGGAGTTGGACCCACTTAGTGGCTGGTAATACTCATTTCCTATATTTTTTGTCTTTTATTAGGACCCATGGCACTGGGCTATTGAGAAGGCCTTCAGGATGTATCTGAAGCAACAAAGATATAAATATAGATTTATAAGCAACAAATCTATCCACATATCTTTAATTTTCTTCCCCCAGGCTAACAGCCTACTTTGGCCTACTTGACATCTGTGGTGTGAAGGGTGGAGAAACAGTGATGGTTAATGCAGCAGCAGGAGCAGTGGGCTCTGTGGTGGGGCAGATAGCTAAGCTCAAGGTAAGTGTCTTCTTCAAGTACCAAACATTTACTCAATACCCACAGTGTGCACTGAGAATACAACAGTCAAGAGAGCAGAACTTCCCCAGTCTCATGGAGTTTAGTTTAGTGGGTATTGTTTAAAAGTTGATGATACATTCAGGATATAAGAGATTTCTGAAGAGCTACTCTCTGTGTTCCAATACAGCCTCTAGTCTTTTCCCGAAAGTGCTTTTCAGAATGCTCTCCAGTTCCTCTATGATTACACAGGATCTAGTCCAATGCTTTAGCCCAAATGAAAGAATAAGGGGGCAGTCACTGGGAGGGCTGACAGTCCCAGAGCTGAGCCCAGATTATAGTCTAAAGGGCCACTGTACCAAAAGATAGCATGCAAGTCACTGCAAGAGAAGTCCAAAAATAAAGAGAGTCAAATAAAAAGGTTGTCAAGCCAACAAGTTAAAACCAGCTGCAAACCACATAACCAGAGACGGAATCTGTTGGTTGGTCAGAGGCAGGCTAAAGTTACAAGTTGGATTGTAGGCTGATTCAGGGACTAATTTCACCTGTGGGCCTATTGGCCCATTGTGGTATCTTCATAAATGTGGCTTAGCACTTTGGGTGTTCTTGGGGAACCTGACCATACTAGACTAGGAGGGGGGGGTTGGTCCGTGCTTTTGGCCTATAAATGGTTTCCATATTTTTTCCCCTCATTTAGGGCTGCAAAGTTGTTGGAGCAGCAGGGTCTGACGAAAAGCTTGCCTACCTCAAAAAGCTTGGATATGATGTTGCCTTTAACTACAAAACAGTAGAGTCTTTGGAAGAAACTTTGAAAAAAGCCTCTCCTGATGGTTATGATTGTTACTTCGATAATGTGAGTACAAATTGGACTTAATATCTTATTTACTAACAAAGTACTATACGAGAGAATATGCTTCTAAAGTTTCCACCTAAAATATGTAAAGAAAGTATGCCTTTAAAAAAAACAGGCTTATTGAGATACAATTTACCCACTTTAAAGTGTTGAACCTAGTGGTTTTTAGTATATTCCCAGAATTGTACAACCATCACCACAATCAATTTTAGAACATTTCATTATCCCAAAAAGAAATGCTGTACTCATTATAGTCACTCCCCATTTTCTCCCAAAAGTGGTCTTTTGTGACTAGCTTCTTACACTATACATTAGCATGTTTTCAAATTTCATCCATGTTGTAATGTGTCTCGGTGCTTCATTCCTTTTTTATGGCCAAGTAATATTCCACTGAATCAGTATACTACATTTTATTTATCCATCCATCAATTGATGAGCATCTGAGTAATTTTCGCTTTTTGGCTATTATGCTTAATGTTGCTATAAACATTCATGATCAAGTTTTTGTGTGGACATAATGTTTTCATTTTTCTTGGGTATATACCTCTACGTGGAATTGTTGGGTCATGTGGAAACTCCATACTGAGGAACCGACAAACAATTTTGTAAAATGGCTGCACTATTTTACATTCTCACCAGCAATGTATGAGGGTTCCAATTTCCCTACATCCTCACCAACACTTACTATCTTTTTTATTATGACTATCCTTGTGGGTTTGAAGTAGAATTTCACTGTGGTTTTGATTTGCGTTTCCCTAATTGCTGATGATACTGAGCATCTTTTCATTTGTATATCTTTGGAGATATGTCTGTTCAAATCTTTTGCCCATTTTTCAGTTGGATTATTTGCTGAGTTTTAAGAGTTCTTCATAAAAGTTCTGATAATCCCCTTATCAGATATAGCCAATTCTCAATATTCCTGGTAGTTAGGTTCTATCAAGTCACACATATGTACATGTTTCACCTTGATTACAATCTTAAATCCTAAAAACAACTCTTCCTGCAGCTTCTATTTTCTTTATTTTTCAAAAGAGAAAAGGAGGTTCAGAAGTGGTAAGAAGCTTGCCTGAGGCTGCCCCACAAACTCATTCTCCCGGATTTGGGGTTCACATCCCATCCAACCAGCCCCAGAGCTGGAGCTTTTTGAACTACTCTGCACTGCCCCCTACTGCCTTCCCTCCCCAGTAATCTCTGGGAGAGCTGAAAAAAGAACAGAGACCCTTGGCCTTTGCTGACCTTAGCTGGGAAATTTGTGTCTCTTTTGTGGCTCTAGGCATGTCTCCAAATGAGCAGGCAAGCTCTGTGAGTGTTGATTTGGGGGTTATAAATAAATGTTAACAAGTAGTCCCATTCTCAAATATGGAATACACTAATAAGGAGGATTGACTATATGGTTTGCAGTTCTTTTCTCCTGTTCTGTGAGTTGTCTTTCACTCACTTTCTTGATGGTGCCCTGTGAAGCACAAAAGTTTTAAATGTTGATGAAGGCCAATTTATTTCTCCTTTTGTTGCTTGAGCGTTTGGTGTCATGTCTAAGAAGGCCTTGCCTTATCCAAGGTCACAAAGATTTACTCCTATGTTTCTTCCTTTTTTTTTAAGATTTTATTTATTTATTTAAGATTTTATTTATTTATTTACTTTAAGATTTTATTTCTTTATTCGACAGAGAGAGAGACACAGCGAGAGAGGGAACACAAGCAGGGGGAGTGGGAGAGGGAGAAGCAGGCTTCCCGTGGAGCAGGGAGCCCGATGCGGGGCTCGATCCCAGGACCCTGGGATCATGACCAAGCCGAAGGCAGACGCCTAATGACTGAGCCACCCAGGCGCCCCAAGATTTTATTTATTTTTGACAGAGTGTACAAGGAGGGGAAACAGCAAGCAAAGGGAGAGGGAGAATGTGGGGCTCCATCCCAGGACCCTGGGATCATGACCCGAGCTGAAGGCAGACGCTTAACCGACTGAGGCACCCAGGTGCCCCTCCTCTGTTTTTTTCTGAGAGTTTTATGGTGTTAGCTGATATATTTTAAGTTAATTTTTGTGTATTGCCTAAGAAGGGGTCCATACCCCTCCTTTTTCATACCCAGTTACTCTACACCATTTATTGAAAAGACTATTTTTTTTCCTCCTATTGTGTTGTTTTGGCACTCTTGTCGAAAATCAGTGGATCATAAAATAAGGGTTTATTTTATTTTATTTTATTTTAGAGTTAGTTCAAGTTAGTTCTGTTGATCTATATTTCTGTTCCCACACTGTCTTGATTAATACAGCTTTGTAGTAAGTTTTGAAATTGGAAAATGTGAGTCCTCCAACTTTGTTCTTGATGTGGCTTTTGAGTATTTTTTCCATGCTCTTGGATGGGGCAATGAGATTATTGAGCTGATCAGAGAATTCCAAAATATAATAAAGTAAAAGGTATGTTATATATGGTACGTTCCTACAAATAGAAATGCCCAACCTCTCCTGTCTTTTTCCAACTGCAATTTTCTGCACTGCTGTGCTAATTCAATCAGGTTTTGTTTTTTTTTTTTTTTTACTTCTAGAATAAATTTTGTGAAACGATGGTTGTGACTTACTGATTCTCCTGAATCTTCTAGTATTTAGAGTATTTAAAGTGGGTTTTGTTTTCTTCCTGTCTGTATAGGTAGGTGGAGAGTTTTCAAACATTGTTATCCCCCAGATGAAGAAATTTGGAAGAATTGCTGTATGTGGGGCCATCTCTACATATAATAGTACTTGCCCTCCTCCCCCAGGTAATGAGCTCATGCACATGATCACAGAGGTAGAAAGACTGGACAAGGAGAATATTCACGGATATGGTATAGGCCAGCGACTATCAAAATGTTGAAAAGACTTCCTGATATTCTGATGAAATAGTGTTTATTAAACTAAAAATATGTAATTTCATATATTTGTACTAAATAGCTTACATTACATTTTGATATTGAGAAGTAACAGAATCTGAAAACACAGAAGAATGTCGATAATTTTTAAAAGTTTTAGTTTTTTACCTATTGTTTTGGGCAAAGTTGTAAAAGGGCAGCCATGATTTGATTTAGAAACAGAACACCTTGGTCTGGCTGGTGCAATATGAGGGTTCTTTAGGATATTCGAGATGTTGCTGGAGGTATGGGGTTGGGGAGAGGATGACTTGGGTGGGTAAAGGGAACAACGGGCTGTCATGTCCTTTCATGGTAGTGGGCAGTGCTTCCTAGAGCAGCAGGACATACTGGCTCCCCCAAACTGACAATTTCCATGGAAAGGGAAAGGAGTGTGCGCTTCCCCTCTGTTCCTTGTTTTGTTTGTCTTGTGCCTCTGTCCCCCACCTCTCTGCTCTCCTATGCAGAGACCACCCCCTCCCCTCTTCATACCACAGAGGTCCAAAAGCAGTATCAACTAGAGAACTACATTCCTTAAGTCCTACTTCTCTGAGAGACGTTGTACAGGCCTCTTATTTTATGGATGGGGAGATGAATGGCAAGAGGACCCGAGGCTCTTTAAATCTTATTAGCAAGAGACTCAAAGATGTGTCTTCTGAACTCCTCATACAGAGTCCTTCTCTACTACAACAAATTATTTTTTTTAAGATTCTTTTTATTTTATTTTATTTTATTTTATTTTATTTTATTTTATTTTATTTTATTTTATTTTATTTTAGAGAGAGAGGGCATGAGCAAGGGAGGGTCCAAGGGAGAGGGAGAAGCAGGCTCCCCGTGGGGCTCGATCTCAGGACCCTGGGATCATGACCCAAGCCAAAGGC